GAGAGAATGAATGAGAGAACGAGAGCATGGGGGAGACAGGGAGAGAGAAAACAAAGAGAGTGAAGGAGTAGAGGGGGAGAGAGAAAGAGAGAGAGGGAGAAGTGAGGGCAGTGTTTTGTGGTTCATTGTCAGGACACATGGTTGGACCCTCCCTAATGACATGCAGTTTCCTCACAGAAATTCCTCACTCTATGTCCATCATTCTATTTCTTCACTCTATGTCCATCATTTACCCCCCTTCCCCATCCTAACTCTGCAAACTCCCAACCTGGCCATTCCCTTTGCCCAGCGAACACCGGCTTGCTTCATGTCCCCCAACCTCATCTGCTCCACCATCGCCATTTTGCCCCCTCACTCTGAAGTTCCATTCCTTGAGCCCCTCTCACTTGCTCCCTTCCTCCCTTTCCAAAACACATCAAAACCTAACTCTTTGACCCCATTTTGAGTCATCTTTTCCCCTCTCCATCCCACCTCCCTCGGTTCCAACACCCAGCTCAGGTGTCCAGCTGTCAGTGTGGCGTGTTTTGAGACATCCTTCTGACGTGAAAAATGTGCAGTGTAAATACTGTTATGTTTCTGGAAAGGAAACACCAAAATATTGCTTATGCGGCTTCTCAAATAGGGTATCTGGCCTGTAGCTGCGAAACATTTGGCCCACCTTGCTCTAAACTCACATTGCTGGGGTGCGCCACATTGTTGGAGCTGCTGTCCTTTGGATTAAATATTTAAACCAAAGTCCCATCTCTCTTTTCATTATCAGGACATTAAAGATCCTATGGCACTATCGGAAAGAAGGTTGTTGCTTCCAGTGTCCTGGCCAACAAACCCTCAGAGAAAAAACTTATTTCATGGCTATTTGAGACATTGCTGTGTGCCTATAGGCTCCTGCTTTTCCCTACAAATACTGCTCTCTCCAGTAAATCCTGTGAAGTGCTTTGCATTGCTTCAATTTTTGATAAGGTGCTATATCAGATGCAACCATTATAACATAATAATCTTTGCATTTGATATAGCGCCTAATCACTTTATTGAAACTTCTCGAAGTGCTTCACAGGATATATTGTAAAGTGGATTGACTATGTATTTTTTGGGTGAAAATGCAGCAGCAATTAGCATTATTAATTTTGTTGCACTTTGCTGGACATTGCGAATGCACATTAGCTACTGAGTTTGCTTAGCTGCCAGCAATCTTTTTTCAATAAAAGTCTTGCTGTAGATTTCCATGGTTCTATGATTCCTTAAAGTACACTTTAAAGTAACTTGTTGTGTGAGGTGCTATGAGATGGTTTGATGTAAGTACCATATCAAATACGGTAACATTAAATATTTGTTGTTTCTGTCTTTATTACTACATTAAGTACTATTTAGAATCATAAAATTTTACAGCACAGAAACAAGACATTTAATCCACAAACTCAGTGGTGTTTTTCTCTGCATGAGTCATGTAATCCAATTTATTCTCCTTGCTCCCCATACCGTTTAATATTCAATTTTTCAAGCATCTAATTCCCTTTTAAAAGAAGTTATGGACTCTGACTTGACAACAATTTAGAATACATCTTTTAAAACAGTTCAGAAAACATGTTGTTCTTTCCTATTTTCACCTCTGATTCCAAATGTGAGACAATCATGGACCTCCTCGTGAGAATATGTCAAGACCCATCAGATTGAATCTTCCTCCTTCTCCTGCTCTCTTCCCTCCATTCCACCCACTTTCCCCCCCACTGCCCCTATAGTTCAGAACTTTGTCTCTATTTCCTTTCCTTCCCTCTTCACCCTCATTGCCTACAAGAAACACCACCAACAACAACTTGCATTAATATAATGCCCTTCACACGGAGCAGCGTCAAAGCCTGAGCTGTAGGAGGTAAGAGGTGACCATAAGGTTGGTCGAAGAGGAAGGTCTTCAGTCATGATCTAAAAGGAGGGGGAAGGTGGAGGGATTGGGGAAAACCTCCTTTCTGCTCCCTTGAACCCCTCCCCAACCACCCCTCCTGTGCACCCTGCTGGTAGATATAGTCAACCTGTCGCTCTCTTCCGGCACTGACCACCTTTCCTCCAAATCCCCTATCATCCTTACCCAAACTCTAACAAACTCTGCATGCCCTTCACCCTAGCCACTTGCTCCATAGCTACCAACAGATTAAATTCAAGATCCTCTCCCTTACCTATAAATCGCTTCATGCCCCAGCATCTCCCTACCACTATGATCTTCTCCTGTCCCATCTATCCCATGATTCCCACCTAAAATCCTGGCTCTTCAACAGTGCCTGCAAGCGAGAGGGCCCGGGTTCGATTCCTGGGCGGGGCAAAACCTTATGCAAGTTTCTTTCGTCCACATGCTTCTGTTTACCTAGCAGTAACTGGAAACCCGGTTGTTAGTCGATTGGCGGATCGTTTTCTGGGGATAATAATCTTTCCCCTAAAAAGTGAGATCACTTAATTCATAACTGTTTGGGCATTGCTGTGTGCAATCAGCTGTCATCTGTTTTGCTCACAA